TGTTAATATTAATAAAATATAACGGTAAGTAATAAATATAAATTGTTGTTAGACATGTTAATAAAGCATAAATAAATAAGTTAAACATAAATTAAATAATAACTTATTTATTTATGCTTTATTAACATGTCTAACAACAATTTATATTTATTTTGCATGTTTTGTATGCTGTATTTTATAATAAAATATAATTAACATTGTCAAGTTGTAATTAATTGATTAGACATAAAATTGTTCAATAAATTCATCATAATATTTAAAATTTAACCAAATAGAAAAGAGTGCAAAAAGATAAGGTGGTCATAATAATGTGGCCAGGGACTGTATATATATATATATATTAGATACCTAATTCTTACAATTAGTTAACAAAAATAACATACCGCGTAACAATGTATTGTATGTTACACTCGAAAATCCTTTCCAATTAAAAATACTGGTGAGGAGGCGCAATAATAATTTTGCACCTTTTCGAAAATTATAATTGTCATCTTGTCTTAATTTGTTGACAACATCGTCCAATTTTGAGCAGATGTTTGGTAATAAGTATATTAAATCTTTCACAAAACTCTCGGAAGGTTCACTTTCAAATATTGTCAAAAGTTCTTTTACAATAAAACATACTTGTTTTATTGATATGCCTTGTGTTTCAGATTGCGATGTCTGCACGTCTATTTTAATGTCCAAAAGGCAGGCTATCTAAATATCATTATATAATATTTTCAAACATGATCAGTACTTGTAATAATAATTTCGAAATTATGTATTTCAAGATCACTAGATATCTTTCTAATTGCAAATCAAATATATATATAATAAAAATGCGAATACAAGCAAACACCATGAACGCAATAATACAATTTTTATTATCTTAAAGAATAAATAAATGAAGAAAATGTAAAAGTTTTCGTTTTGGGTCCTCTTCAGTACAATCTTAATTACATGTGTCGAGTTTATTGTTATTATTCTATTTTTGATAATATAATAAAACGATAATCACTTATAAACTCCATAAAAATTTTCATTAGTTGGAATTTTTTCTATATATACTTGATTTATTAAAAATAGAAGTGCTTGTATATATGTTACAAACTATTCTTGATACCTTTGCGTCAAATTTTCTGAAATATGCTGGATTTTTGGAATACAGTGTAGAATCTATCTCCTCTTCATCCTCCATCGTCACAGAAGTGTTTATTTTCTTTTCTTTTGTAGGTTTCTTTCCTTTTTTAGTAATTTTCTTTTCAATTTTTACAAACGGCGGTAATGGAAAATAATGAAAATAACATGGTGGTGGTTGATATTTAGTGTCACATAATGGTAGCAACATATTCAATTCACTTTGCAAATATATCAAAGTATCTAAACGTTTTAGTACTTGTCCTCGCAGTAAAGGATCAGTTTGTGTGACAAAGCCTGAAATTATTTCTCTAAACCTGTAATATTTCCGTTGCAGTTATTTACAATCTTAGCTTAAAAAATAGGCACATAGAAATTATATGCATATTATTGCATCATAAAAAAAGATTTAATTAAATACTTACCAATTAATACCACATACAATAAGATCTAATGTTGTACATTCTGGTATATCAAAGTTTTCTGGCATTAACATTTCGCATCCCAAAAGAGCATCTATAGCCTCTAATTCTCCATGCTCACTAAGTCTCATACAACACGTCTTAAGAAGTCGAAATAATATTGATGCAATTGGTCCACCATTTCTTTTATTTCCAAAATTTAACACGCAGTTTTGGGGCGCAAATTGCTCATTTTCTGCATTATTTAGTCCAAATTTAGGTACTAGAACTTCCCTGATAAAAAAATTATGTGTATTTATTTAGATTTGTCTTTCTTTTATATTTTATTATTATACATCATTACAATTATCATATGATTAATCAACCAAGGTTAGCATCTTTTTTCCCCACTAACTGAACAACTTTTGTCTGAACATTTTTATTTTAAATTTAAAGATTTTGAGAAAATTGGCTGGATAAATTAAAATGGTTCATATAAATATTTTATATAGTGTATATGTTATATATATATATATATATATAATATTGCATAACGTATTTACCTGGTTTGTACTTTATCTGTCATATATGTATTAACAAATTCATTTTCAATGTAGCTATTTATCTTTTCGATGAAAACAATATTGATATGTTCGGTTTGTTCAATTATTTGTGTTAGTTGGTCATAGAACAAAGACTGCGATTTATAACAACTCTTTACATTCTGCATTACCTTATCTGTGCGTGTGCAAAACATTTATATTAAAAATTAATAAATTTTTCTTTACTATATCTACTGTTACAACAATTTATGAAAGAAATATTCATCAAAGAACATTAAACTTTATCATGAATCCATATTTGAGATTTTATATACTGTGTGCGCGTATGTATATACAATTTTTTTAAATTATATAAAATAGACGTACTAAATAACTTCAGAGCTTGGTCGCATGTTTCAGCTTTTCCTGCTAAATGTTTTATTGCCATTACTGCCCCCATAACACCTTTACATTTTGTACTGAAATGTGTAATCCAATATGTACATTACAAAAACATTAAAAATATAATTATAATTAATTTTAGACTTAGCTTACACTGGTTTCGCAATAGATAATTGTTTATGCAACAATATAAACAAGTCATCTCGTAAAGATTCTAAAGTGGAATTATCAGTTAGACACAATCCATGCAACAAATCATTCAAAGTACCAACTTCTTCTAGTCCAAAACAATCAACTTTTTCTAACAAAATTCTCAAATGATGACAATGTGATACTAAACAATCTCTTTCTATTGCATTCTCTGCCATTTTGCAAAGTACAGTCAGTGCATGTTTCACAGTTTGATCATTATTACCCATAACAAGAATGATATTTTTTATAATCTCACGTTGCTTAAACGATGTTTCTTTTTGACTGAGAAACTGTAATCGGAACCATTCTATTGCAAAAATAATAAACACACGTTCTTCAGACTTTAATAGTTTACTCGCTAATTGTAATATTGGTGTTTGTAATTCACGAACAACCTAAAAAGATGCATATAAAATACAATGCAATACCATATATATATATAATTATATATATGCGATATTGCATTTCCCTTCCTGCTGGCCAGGCTTATCTACTTATATACAGGGTGTTTCCAAATTAAATCGCAAAACTTCGGGAGCGTGTAGAGGAGTAAAAAACTAAGAAAAAAAGTCCTATAGACATATGCTCGTTTTTGCTCCGTTTCAGAGAAATCGAAAAAAAATTAAAATTCCCACAACGATGGATTGGACGTGGAGGAGCAGTACATTGGGCAACTCGTTCGCCCGACTTAACGCCATTAG